ACTGAAAGTGCCCGGTAGCTTATAGAACAGAACAAAACTTCTGTACATGTTTGGTAAAATAAACTGTTGGTCTCTTACTAAATCCACACTGATTTTGTTTGGAGTTTCGAGTGGCAAACGGTTCGTCACGACGTTTCTTGCTTGGTGGACGACTACGACGACGATGAATTTACCCCCTTCAACAACTCTTAATTTACCGACTGTGAACTTTTATACTAAAACCAAAACAAGTTAATGCACCCTTGAGATGAATTGAGTGCTTACTTGTCTACTTACTTCACCACGACGAGAGGTTTTCTCAATTGTTTTTCCTAGGTTTTATAAATACAACTTTTAATCGCCCTAATGACACGATGACAAACGAACGTGCAAACAATTGACAAAAAAGACCATCCAGGAAGGTATGCAATTAACATGACATGTCACGTCACCTCATTCCTCATAAGATTCTGTATATGATCGGAAATAGTTTTTAGTTGGTGCTCAACTCGACTATGCACATCTTTCTTTCTTTGATGAACAAGTCAAACAGGAGGAAACACTCACCGTCAAATGTCAACTAGTCAGAGCTCACTTGAGACCACATTAAAAGTGGAGCTGCTAAAGTTCACAGAGTAAATTAAAGTATGGATGGATAGAACAAAGACAAGAAAATGTGCCTATCCCATAATGATTTTTTGCCATTTTTCTCCACATTGTTTGACTTCTGGGCACTTTATTTCTCTCATTTCGGTCGTTCCTGAACGTGGACCGCCTCGAGGAAATGGTGTTGATGTTGACAAGTCAGACATAGGTTGATCTCGTCACATCGTGTTATATATGTGTTCCAGGTTGTAGAGATATATTTTGGACGGGTGAGCCACATTTGTAGAGTAACTTGCTGTGTCTATTTATTACCCCCGGCAGATATTTGCGAATACTTGGTCCTGATTTCGCTTTGTCAAATTACCAGAAAAATGTGGCGACGTACACGACCGCTCCGTCGCGCACACACAACTTGACTTAATTACTGTTTATTACCACGATTTGAAAGTGCTCCAAATTTTAAGTACTGTCTGCTTGATTTCGTTCGTCCTGGCTTAATTAATTTGCCAGCTTGATTGGGATTCATGCATAAGTATGTTAGTAAGCGCCGAGAGGGTTTATTACCCACTTGGAAGCTACGGGTGTTAAAATCTTGCTCGGATTATGTCCAAGTGACGAATTGGTGGAGGAATGATGAATATATAGCTTTCTCTCGTTCGTAATTGCGCATGGATTCATCTCAAAAGTGTGATAGAAATTTTACGACAGTGAAACTTTCTTGATTTTCATTTCATTTAATTTACTAGTACTCGAACCAGAGAGAGAGGTTTCAGGTTAATCAAGGAAGTGAGAGCTACATACACACTTGCTGAAAGTTAGTAGTTGGCTGATTGATACAGGGACGAGGTCGCAATTCGTAAGTAATTTTATTGTCCATTTTAATAAGAGTGGAGAACAACTCTCCAATTGAAACGCGAAACAAAATCTTTCTTTGACTTGGTATTCTGCTCGAATGTCTGCAATGAAAATCAAATCAGCGTCTATATCCATCACTACACAGAGTTTCAGCTTCCCATTAAAATCATCCGACTCGAAATATTAACAACAAGATCCGTCGTCGTCGGTCCCTTGATGAGACGAATTGCTTGCTTTTTATTAAAGTTATTTTATTGCTGGAAATTAGCTCAATTCTTTTTATATGAACCACAACAGCAGCTTTTTGGTTGCTTGTAATAAAGAGGATAAAATGTGAATTCATTATGTACATACAAGCTTTCACTATGGTTTGTTCGTCTCATTTACATTATGCGCTATATGTAGAAGAAAAGTTGTATTTCGTGATGCGTGTCCCAATTCGTGAATATTTAATATTTCAGTTTTATTGGTATGAGAAATGATACGCTATACCTATTTTGGGCTCTCAGTCAACTATCCTCTTGTTTTTGTATGTACGTGTTTATGGCATGGCTGGAGTAATAACTTTTAAGTTCGTGGGTATGCTGGTATGTATCATCATCGACCTTCCCAGTTAAAAAAGTTATGCTTATCTCGTCGTAGTCATTTGTAATTTCATATTTGGATTGTGGATTGCTTCACAAGAACAACAACAAACTGTTGCTGCTGCTGGAAATGAGATCCCTATCGACATTTATGTTCCGTTCTGGCTTGTTGTTTGCTCATCATTTTCAAAGTTTGGCCATATTTTATAAAATCATGCTGATATGTTCCTGCCTGCCTGGGCAGACACTACATAAAATAAGGAACCGACGGATGCAATGATGAGGTAACAAGTTTACGTTTTGGCTTTGACAGCAGGGGATAATAATTGCTTTATTACTTTCCACTTTCTTTTTGGTAAGGAAACCTTGTAAAACAATGAGGGAGATGAGTTTGAAAATTTTTATGACTTGAACGCATCAATTTCGGAATATTCCAATTTTACGCTGATGCCCCGACATGCGAGTACACTAATCAGAAGACTATGTATCCAACTCTCTAGTTACCAGGCGTTAAAGAATGAAAATATGCTACATGTGGTATAGTAAATATGCAGTATATTGTCTAAAATGGCCCTTAACTTGAGGGCCATCGACCAGACGCGTCTCGCTATAAATGCCCAAGCGGAGTTCGGTAGTGAAGGGTTCATGTGGAGGAGTCGAGTCAAAAGGTAAACGGAAAGTTGAGATATTAATTATCGAGGTATGAGTTTGCGTTATTTTCAATAATTTTAAGCAAGTAGAACGAATAAACAAAGGTCGACAAGGTGGGTCTGACATTAAAATTCACCACGAACGAAACCAATTTTATGCGATGCCATCTCAGATATGAAGAACTCTCTCTCATCATCATTACCCCATTACCCTGAAATATTTACTAGACTGATTTTTACGAAAAATTCAGATTTCTTGGCTATTTAGCTTGTTCTCATCAAACAAAAGAGTGCAGTCACTGATCCTGGCTTGCTCTCATTTTCTTCTGTGCATACATGACCCATATGAACCCTAAGGGTCCTCCTTTCTGTCGGCGTGCCTTTGTTGCAGTTGCTCTCACACACAGACACTATTTACCCATTAATAATATTACGATGCCCTTGGCTTGCATGGTTGTGTATTTAATGAAGAAAATTTAGTCCACTCATCACATCACATTTCCAGCCCTCGCTTTTTCTAACCTTCATCCAACAAGTAATAATAATCAGTTATCCATCATGTTTTTCTGTCGGAATGAAATGAAAGATAAATGAGTAGCACGACAGAGACTTTTACATATACACGTTACACACGTGATGAGATGTGTAAGTAAGTACGTATCATGATGCGGAGAGAAAATAGCCATTTATATGCGTTAAGGTCAGTGGATAAATATCTGACGGGGTGAATTTACCTAAGCTGCCGGTGCTGCTAGAATGTATCATAACATTATCATGACGATAATGCGATGCGCGTTAATCAATGATCTCCGATATCTGGAGTAGAATCCACACGAAAGAATTTCATCGTGAGATTAATCCCTTTCTTTACTTAACCCGGTCCATCTGTTTGCTTAAGCCTTTTACCCACATACTTAACTTAAAGTTATTACATAACACACGCGTGGTGGTTTTAGTTGACGTCGACAGTTTGGTTAAAGGACGACCAAATAATAACCTTTCTCCCTCGGAGCAATTTCTTGGATCTATTTCGGAGAGAAATTGGTCTCATCTCCTCTCTTGGCTGGCACTATTATTAAGTAAGCCAGCCAGAGGAGTCAAGTATCTGGACCGTGAGTCCTGGACAATGGAAATATATAGCTAACTATCCAAGTATTTTTGGTGGTGGTAAGCGAAGCCTGTCATAAAGTAACTGCTGCCTGATCTTGTTATACCTTTTACCTCACAGATTACCTTTAATCTGCCTTATTGTTATTGCCCATTGGGTTATTTTTATTTGGTGCAGCAAGCAACCCACGATATACAAGGTACGAATTAACCTCGGTCGGAGTTTAGGCTTTTATAAATTTTTAAGAAAAAAGCGTTGAGTAATGTGTCTGAGCATTATCTTTCCAAATAATCACCCTGTTTGCAGGATATGATCATTTATTTGTTTTTCCTGATTACTCAAAGCATCCCTCACTCATCTCTGGCTAAATATAAGGCGAAGAAAGAAAAAATAATAATGCAACTTCCCAACTGACATCCATCCAAGCTATACTTCATCATCATCCAACTCTTTCTTTTTCATCTCTAATATTCGTCTCAGATCCCGACTTTGATTCGAAGAACTCATCCCGTCGGCCAAGAACCGTGTAACCATTCCAAATAATTGAGGTGATTTTAAGGTTTGGTGCTTGTAGTGAAATTGATGGAACTCTTGAACCATTTTATTGAGGTTTGCATTACATTAGAAACATGTGTGTACAACCTCGTATGTAGTCATCATCAGGGGGAGGAGAGTTTGTTCTTCCTGCTTGATTGTCTCCATTTAAATTAGTACATATTATTTTATTCCGTCTCATCACGTTGTCTGTTTATTTATTTACTTAAACTTGAAAGTACCTACATACGGTAGGACATGCTAGTTACTTAGAGTTGATGATATCCTTAGTGAATCCAATGTTCCGGATGGGAACGATAAAGTTCAAATTACTACACTTTCACGTACATACATTACATACCCCGATCGCACCAGTTCGTTATATTATAAACAATACTGAATAGGATTCCGTCTGACAGTAGAAAAAAAATGCTTCAGTTCACCTTGTTTGTAGAGAAAGGAAAGACGCTGAATGAGATAGATAAGCCTTTTCCGCCAGGGATAGGAAAACCTACAATTACTTTTAGATTAGGTTCACATTATTGTACGTATGTCCCTCCTCATTCATATTCATTTTAGTCGCTGTGCTATGAGATATACCGAGAGAGTTTAAAAAAATAAAAAAATAAGTTCCTACCCATAAATTCATGTACAAGGTAAATTAGCGTGCGAGATACAGTTCAGAATTTTTTTGCAATTTCCCCGTAGCTGTTATTATACGATGTTTTTATTTTATCTCTCTGCTCCTCACGGAAAATCCATGCAGGTCGTAGTCGTACGTACCACGCTGGTTTTTAAGCGTCTTTAACGACCGAGGGGAAGAAATAGATTCAGCAAACAAAATGACAATGGTTCTAAATCTTCACGATTTTACAATGAATATTTGTGTGAGCAAGGATGATTTTTATTAGTTTTTACGGTTTGTTTAAAAACTTTACGGCGCTTTCTTCAACTCATTATTAGAAAAAACAACTGTGCAACCTGAGCTAATTGTGGGATGTAGTTGGGTTACCCTTCCTCACAAAGGTTCATCATGTTGATTTACTATTTCAATTTGCAAACGTGTGCAATTTACGACAAGACTACAAATTTTAAAGCGACGAGTTGTACCATAAAAGTGTGTGGGCAAAGGAGATAGAAAAAAATTGCAAAAATTGCATAGCAATCATTGAATTTATATGGTATATCATTGAATTTTAGATGGTTTTCATTTTACCGGAGGAGGAGGTGCAGAACGATTGGCGAAAAAACTGTTAAAAACTGAGAGTCTTCTTCCATCTTATTTACTTAAATTGAGAATCAGATAACAATTTCCTTATTGTTACTCTTACCGCATATTATTTCCATCAACTTACCACTAAGTTGGCTACATAGATAATCCAGCACAAGTCGTACATGCATCTTCCCACATAATTGCAAATTGGAGGTATGTAAACACCAGTTAACAACTGAAATTACGTGTGCATAATAATGTGGAAAATATAACAAGGTGGTTTTATGCACAACACGAGTTACATGATGTCAATTGCACAGTCGAACGGAGACGAGACGATGCATAAAAAAATATTTTGCACAAGAAGTCGACCATCTGCTGTCATCGGTTGTTGCGCTGGTTAATGTAACAAAACCGGGTTTGTTGGTTTGCCATCTTGTCATCTTTCATAGATTTATACAGGACTTATTATGATTCATTTCTCCAATCATGAACGTTTATTCGTACCAATATTTGTGCAACCGGCAGACCTGCTTCCATGCCGCGTTCTCTCATCATGCCCAAATGAACCAATTGACCGTCACCGGGTCCAACGTGTTGTTGTTGGAGGTCAGTAACCTGAGCGAAAAAGCGTATGAAAATTAATAAAAGTATACTTCAAAAATGAATTACAAATGAGAAAATAAACTTACAATTTGGTCAACAAATGAGATGTTTACCCCCCGCGAGCCAGCTGACCTGACTCAATGTCCATGAGGATCTTCACAGGGACAACTTCCTGCTTCATGGTCCGACGTGAGTCCGCTCCCCACCGAAAAGCCGGATCAACTTCCGCTCGTTGGTTTTGCATCCGGTGGAGGACCTCTCGGTGTTCAACAGAATTGAGGGACAAATTTCTCAACAAGTATGTCACAAAGTCAACAATCCCTTGTCGAAAGCCCTCCACGGGGATAAGTGCGTTAGCCCACGTGACCACCGCATCCTACACATAAAAACAATAAAGGAACGAATGCATAATTTTGCAAAAAAAAAATTAATGTTGCCCTACATTAGGCCCTCGCGGAAATAAGGGCAACGGAAGAGGTCCGACAAATGTCCTATCCCCCAACCGATTACGAAACATTATCCCAGCTATGGCCTCGAATTCCGATGGGGTCGCGTGGGTGGCCTCAAGGAACCAAGTAAGCCATCCCTGGATGTTGCTGCTCCTCCCCCTCGACGCTGGACGTGTTAGATACGATAGAATTTGTGCCTACAATATATTTAACTCATTATAAAAAATTATGTACAATTTATGAATCAATGAATAAATAAAAAAGTTTATTGACTTGTACTTACAAATTGATCCCTGTGCAGGCCAAATCGACTCATGTTTCTTTGATTAATTAATTGGTTGCAATGTTGTAACAAAAATCAAAGTGGATAATATTTTTATACTCAGACTGACATGTATTTATTCTCCCTTCCCGCGAGTGCCACTTTCTCACCACTCGATCGGCATTCTCATGGAGGGTGACGCTTTGCGAACGAACTGTTACAACAAGCATACACACACGCCACTTCTGCGCACAACATTGACTGAGCTCTCACGAGAAAATTATTTGTTGTATAAAATTAAATTGAGGGCCTTCGCAGGGATTATTTTGTTGTATACTTTTGATTCAAACTTTTTACTTGTCGTTCTGATCATGGTTAAACGAAAAATTGTGGCCCCTCCTGGGAAGATAAAGGTCTACGTGACCGACGAAAATGGAGAACATTGGCCCAGATGGGTTACTCCTCCTTCTTCGCCTACCCCGTCTACGTCAATCCCCATTATCGAGTAAGTTGTAAATAATTGTTTATTTAATTTTCCCTGAACTTAAGGCCATATGACTGGGAATTAATTATTCTTGGTTTTACTGTGTTTAGCATCACAGGCGACGACGAGACGGAAGAAATTTCTGCCACTTTTGACGAGGCGGAAGCTGTCGCCAGGTTTGTTGCTCGTCATAATTTACTTTCCAATATTGGTCATCGCCGGGGTTAATTATAATATTATTGTTTTTAGTATCTCCGTTGAGGACGAAAACGATGACATGCTGGTCACTTTTGATGAAGCAGACGCCATAGCCAGGTTTGTTTGTAATAATAATTTACTTTCCTTCAACATGGGTCATCGCTGAGAGTAATTATAATACTATTGTTATTATGTATTAGGGCGCAAGAGCTGTCTCGTGGACTCCCTGAGAAGGTCGACGACCAGCCCAGTTCCTCGAATTCTTCAGAACAAGAAGTTGGAACCCCCGTTCAGGTTGGGAAAAGTTTAATAATATTTATTTGAAACTCTGCTAAGACCTCAATTTGTTTAAATAGGGCCCATCATCGGGGGTTGAAGTGATTCCTGATCTCAAAAAATTGGAGAAACTCCGAAATGAGGAAAATCTCAGAAACTTCCTGGAGAGACAGCCCTTTGTTAATGACCGTGCCGAACTAGTTCGCTTAGGACGGGCTGCGGGCCTTCGCAGGAATTTTGACAATATAGTATTCTCAGATGATCTTGGATTCCATTTCGTACGCGCCGATGGATGGAATGCTTCTTTGGCGTCAGATCTACGACGGAAATGGAAGAGGAGGGACTCGACCACTTTTATGGAATCCACCCGCATCCGTAACTCTAACCCAGGACAGCGTGAGAAGGTGAGGGAGTCAATGGCCCGGAAACTCGCGGAGACGCCCAATCGCCACATCTTCTACCTTGCGGACGTATTCACAACGCCATTGGACGTCCAATCGTGTCGATATGGGGATGTGCCGTGGTCCTTTATCTATGACAAACCTGGAAACAGCCGACACTTGTACCCAGGGTATTGGACTTCAATGAATGGAAAAATTTGCATGAGGATTAATCATTTCACACGGTGGGCTGACAGCAAGGTGTGGGATGCAATCATGTCCCTGTTGAAGGCCAAAGAAGACGGAAATCTGGAGCATTCTGTCGTCTGCCTCGAGTTACGAGCCATTCCATGCCAAGATAAGGCTACCGCACAGCAGGCCGAATCTTTTGTAATGGTAAGGATATTTGTTGCCTAAAGTTTTACTGTGTACAAACAAATTACTTATTTTCTCGCAGTATTATCTAACTACCTGGAATACGGCTTATCCAAACAATCAACAGCCGTGGATTGTGACTGAACCGGATGCCGCTCTCGTTCCCGGACTCGGCCTCCACCAAAAAGCAGAGAAATATGTGGCAGATGGCGTGATGCTTTTCGAAATCGTTCCTGACGACAGCCCAGGAGTTATTCCTCCCCTCCCCCATCTAGCATCACTGGACGAGGTCACAAACCTCCCCATCCTAATCCCGGAATCGGCCCTAAAGGAACGCTGGATCGATGGCACTCGCGTGGATTTGCGGGGCAATCCTGTCCACAACAACTGGGAAGCGTAGATAAATCTAATGAAGACTGATAAATCACACATCTTGCAAATATGAATTACTTTTATAACATGAATAACGAAATAAATGCTGTATTGCATTATTGATTTTAATTGGACACGACGACGCCGATGAGGATTGCCGATTGCCACTGACTAGACGTTTGACATTTTTGCTTTTTAGAAAACAACTTTTTTACCAAAAGTCAAAAACATGTCAAAAAATCTTGTCAGTACATGCATGCAGTTTAAAAGAGTTTAATGTACAGAAATTTTTTCCACCTTCTCGGAAAGATTGAAAGCTAAAAAATATCCCTTTTTTACTTGGACAGGGTTAAACGGATGATAATGATGATACCTGAATTCTTTACAGTTCAATAACTGGAACAAGACGACTTATTAAAGTCTGACATTTGGCTGGATAATATATTTTTTTACCACGGCTGCATGAACCCTATTGTTTCGAAAGTGTTCTTCCTGAACCCCATTCATTACTAAATGCGTACATGCTTTTTTTCTACCTTTCGACCACTACATATGAACCCATTTAATCCGTATACCTATAGCTACACAACCCCCTAAAAATCGACGACACGGCGAGACACTTGGACTTAGGTAAAAAAAGGTTAGGAATTAGACTCAGACTAAAACAAAGCCTCGCCGGAGCCCGTTGGGATTATCATCATCACCAGATTCTCGTCATAATAAGTTTGTGTAATTAAACTGCACATTTCTTCAAAACTTAAAGTTCAAGTTCAAGTCGAGAATCTTCTGATGTCCACCCGCAGACTGGAGAGAGTAAATACTTGTACATATTATTGTAATGAGATCATTTTACTCTGTTGTTCACCCGCATTGTGACCGTGGCTGGTATCCAGCTTGCATAATAGCCAATTATATTAAAGACTTTAATCGATGGAGCATTTTCTTTGTCTGTTGTCAGTTGCATTATTACAAGGTCCACCCAAGTTGGTTCACCGTTTAGAATGACAATTGATGCCTGGACTGACTCGAACGAAAGGCTTGGCTTTGACTCCCTGGTGATGTGAAATGTGAAAGCAAACGATATACGTATAAGAGATGAATAGGTGGCATTCGTTGCTTTTTAACAAACATCGACCAATATGCTACTTACTAGACATCTTTGCGGTGTTGTGTTATAAGTAGAAAGAAAAGAACAAGTGTCAGACCAATTTTAGGAAAATATGACAAAAAACTTGTAATTAAACGGTCGTATGTATATATTTATACATACGTATCCTTTGCAAGTCATGGGCCCTGGGTCAAAGAAAAGCATATTTTCATGTCAAGTGCTACTCATTTTAAAGCCACCAAAGAAGCTGAGAAGAAAAGGACCTAAGTACTTCTTGGTTGGACAGTGAATATGTATGAAGGGTCCGTCGTTTAATGTGATTATAATATTATTTTAATATGATGATGGGTCTTTGTCCTGCTACCCACCAAACTAAATATGTATGCACCACCCTCACCTGTGCGATCAACGGACCAGTTGACTTCACAGATATGTAACTAAATGCATACATATACGTTAGGATGGTATTATTAAGATGATGATAGTGTGGCCTAAGCAGGTACGGGCAGGCAGGTAAAAGAAGTTGCTTGGTATGGAAATATAGACGTGGGATGGAGGCTGTAACGTAACCGGACCGGACCACCTTGAACAGAATCACTCACGACCAATTATATTTCAAGTTAAGCACTTCCACAATACAAACAACGTACTTATTTATAATTTATTGAGCCCTAACCTCCATTAGTCTTCTTGTTATGCTGTGATATGAAATCTTTTTATGGAGAAAGAAAGCCAGCAAAATTCTCCCAGCTATAACAGCTTTTATTATGCATTGCGCTATTCAAGTCAGAGTCGTTTACCTGTTGTTGCAACGAATGCTTCTTCATTTTGTGCATATTTTGATGGTTGGATGGCTGATATTCATGGGTTAGTTATCTAAAATCTTAATGAGGAATGATGGGTCAACTTATCACTGTAAAAATGATGTTCAAAAGTAGTGTAATTGTGTGATTTAACAGCAAAGGACAACATTGATAAAATTCTACGGCAATGTAAATACTTATCACCGTTAGATGAAGTTGAAACTAATTAATTCTACTAATATGAGCCAGACATGAAAAAGTTGGATTGCGAAGAATCATAGCTTTCAATTACCATATGCAAAACAATTGAGAGTTCGCATTCTTCATCATTTTACTTGTGCAAACAATTTATTTCGGCAATTATACAATAAGCAATGCAATGCAACGGATCATAATAATTGTGGTCGTTAATTTTCTTTCATTGTGCAAAGGATAACAAATACGAAGAAATGATGCAAATTCGAGATATGTATGTGAAATATAATGAGCTGTTGAATATTAAAGAATTTTACCGTCGTACGTAATATATAAGTCGTCGGGAAAATGTAATAAATATTTCATAATTTCAGAAATTATGTAAACTGAAAATCCAGCCAGATTATATGTTATGCAATAATCACTCTCTGTTACATTATAAATTAGTCCCGGCGGACGTGTGTACTTAAAATGTACCCAAAATTCAGCTTGAAAACTTGGTTGGTCCGATTAATTTTGAAAAAGAAACCTCATTTCCTGAAATATTTCCTGTAACTCAACTTTTTGCCTCCAGCCAGGAAGAATTGAAATGGTGGGTACTGGGTACAACTTTGGCATAAGGATCACCGGATAGATAACTTGCAATTCACCATGTACATACCTTTTCACACGCCAATAGCATGCAAATAATGTACACATGTGGGACTACATTGTAACAGACGCGGTTTAAAAAAGTGATGACAAGACATGCCATCAAGTTCCCTGAGGGGGAGGGAAATATATAATGGAAACTCTTCCGCCATCATTCTGTCTGTCAGTTATCTACCTCTTCTTCTGCGAGCAAAGTTGGTTGGTTCGTGGAATGGATGGACGAGCTGATTTAATTCTTTTGCAAAACGATTTGAAATGTTGAGCTATGAATTGGATTGGATTTGTTCTGCTGCTGTCGCTTGAAGTGAAGGGGGCAAAATGTCAATTTTACACCAGCGGGGGTCACACTTGTCTGCGGGTAAATCCTCAAACAAAATCATGAAACGTACGACCAGTTCCAGTTTCAAATTGTGTTGTCAAGCACCACTTGAAACCTCTCGAGGGGTGAATATTGTTATTATTTGCACCACTCGGTCGCATATCAAATCTCATATTTTTAGAGGTCCATCCTATTTCCGCTTCACACAACGACTAGAAAAGTT